TGGAATTCCTCCCAAACCCAGGTTGTCGACACTACCCGTATGGTTGAGGACCGGATAGAGGAGCTTCAGCAACAGCAAGAACAGCTGATGAACGCGATATCAGAACGTATGCAGGCTTTTGTCAGAGATGAACTTGAGCAGCTTGGCGCCTCGCAGTCTTTCTTGCAGGAAAAGATGGAGGCATACCAGACTTCCGAACAAGAAGTCAACGGACAGACAGCCCAAGCGCGCGACCACATGAATGAAGTCCTGGAGGAGATCAGGACTCTTCGAGAGGACGTCAAGACGAAGATTGGCGCAGGCCTCGATGAGCTCTCAGCAGCGGCGGAGACAATCTCTGCAAACATCATCACAGAACTCGACGCCTTCCACACGCAAGTCCACGCGTCGTATGCGGGGCTAGGCCGCGACTTCAAGACCACTTTTGACGATCTTGTCAAGGATCTGAACGACCAGCAAATCGAGAACGAGCGACTACACCAACAGGTCGTGGAGGCCAACGCGGCCTTGGTCGAGGCGAACAAGACATCTCAGGGCCAACTCGAGAAGGTCGTGAACGAGGAGAAACAGAAGTCGGCCGAAGACCGCCAACAACTGCTCTCACAGCTTACCGCCATCATTCACGCAAACGCCGACGCGCAAGAGAAGAGGTTAGACGAGAAGCTCTCGGCTGTACGAGAGGAGATGAATGCCGCCAACGCTGCGTTCGAGACGAAGCAAGATGCTTATGCTGATGGCGTTATTGCATGGTCAGATAAGTCTAGAGACATTCTGGCGGGTGTATCCAAGTCAAGAGATGCCGTCAAGACCAAGATCAAGTCAGACTTTGCAGCCGCGACCCAGCATTCCACTTCGATCAAGGACACGACTACATCCGTCCACGAGAGCACTGTCAAGACTGTTGAGGCTCAGATGGCACACCTGGACACTCAGCTTCAATCCTTGGATGATATCGTAGCCCGCATACGCGAACAGAACAACACCCACCACACCGCCCATACAGCATCGCTGGCTGCTTTGTCGTCAACAGTGGCAGCCTCATACTCTAGCATCGGTGATCATCTATCCACTTCGTTCGATCGCGTTCAGTCTCTCGAATCGGACATGTCAGCACAAGCAAACACACTGAAGGACACTTTACCAGCACTTGCTGCAGATGCGGACATTCGTGCACCACTGCACGAGCTTCGTGAGGTCGTCGGGTCCCAGAACCTGATCGAATACAACCCCACTGGCGAAACACCCCAGCGCGTCTCCTACACCATCCCCTCCACCCTCCCACGCACCGAAGCGCACGAGAACATCCTCTCCCGTCTTCGCGACCGCCCCGCACCCGTCGACACCACAACGCGCAGCCCTTCAAAACAACCCATCTTCGACGACGCCACAGGAACGCTCAACCTCTCCTCTCCAACCGACATATTCGCCGACACGAGCAAGAAGCCCATTTTCTCGCACTCCATCAGTGCGCACGCCCACACCATCTCGCACCTCCCCACAGGCAACCCTTCCTCCCTGCGGGAGCTAGATGTTAACGTGGTGGCGCAGGAAGCTCATACCCAGCCACTTCCCCATCTCGCATCCCAGTCTTCTTGCGATTCGCTGAACGGCGGCCCTCCGAATAAGAAGGCGCGAACCAATGGCGATGATACAAGTAAGCTTCCGATGAAGAAGATGACGAGGAAGACGGTTGGCGTTGCTGGCGACCGTGGTGATAGGGAGAATATTACGAATTTCGGTAATAGCGTTGGTCCGGGTCTTGCGGCTGGGCGGAAGTTGAGAAGTCATGGGAGTGGGTAGTTTGGTAGGATTGTGGTGGTGTATAGTTTTGGCGTTTTACCCCCGAGTTGGACCTTTTTTGCATAGTCACGGCGTTTGATGTGGGCAGTGGCAGCGGTATATCTGTCTTGTCTACTTGTTCTTCTTCTGCTGGCGTTTGGACACTGGATTCAAAAGGCTGGGCATACATAGGCGTAATGACATTCCGAACTTCTTACCTTTATCATGATTTCTGGTCACTCTGCAACACGTTTCCGGAATCTTTGGATCCGCGCTGGTGAAAGCAGTCCGGCCCTACTTGTGGCACAGTCACAATGCCGTATGCTCACTTTCTGCCTTAATCACTTCTTTTGCGCTTGAGGTTGAGTTTTTCAATGTCTAGCTATACAAATTCTCCTGTCAACATCTAGATACCTTACAAGGCCAGCCAGACAGCTAGAGATACACTCGCGAAAGCTCCCATTATCGCCCGAGAAGACGAGAATCCATGCACAGCCGCGCCCAATTCCGAATGCAACCAGCACTTGCGGTCTGACCTCTGGTCGACTGAGGCAAGATTGAAACTATTGAGGGGGTAAGGTGTATTGCCACAATCACCCTCATCAGCACTCCAACAGCTGTACCCAAACCAGTTCAGCAAGTTTTGGTCATCGTTAGGATCGAGTTCAGAGCAGTCTTCCCCTCCGTAGACGGTAGCCATCATATTTGCGAGATGGCCCTCCTTCCATATGTCGTCATAAGCCTGCACTACGTGGTGGCGGTATAGGACCCGAGAGTAATTTGCTGATCTGTCGTACTTGTCCGCGTTGAGAAGCGTCCAGTATATACCCGCTTGTTCGTTACCAAACCTGCCAGAACCGAGATTCCATGTCTGGTTCACAAAGCCTTGCGTTGCGTTTCCTCCAAAGAGGTCTTCAAGACTGAAACAGTGCGGGACGATGGGAATGCTACTCGTAGTGAAGGTCAAGGCGTCGCGGGAGTCGTAGTAGTTACACGTGTCGTCGTGGCCATCCTTGAAGAAGCGAAGCGTCAGGTTCTGACTATCGAACGGTTAGTTGACTTGTGCCGATACATGGAAAGGACACGAACTTGTATGGGCTTAGTTCTTCCCCATCTGCGTTCTGGGATCTTTGCGCATGTGCGTAGAATGGAGAAGAGAGCAAGGCTAGAAAGGCCGATCTGTTGATGACTTGGAAGAGCTGCATTGGAAATGCTGAAGCAGAAGGTTTAGGGAGACCCTCGAAAGCAGTAAGAATTCTCAAATCCGTACGAGCTTTTGAAAGAGCTCGATTCCAGTAGATGCGAGCGTGTGGGGCGGCCAGTGTGGTTGTACTCCATCTCCAGACGGCCCTGCGTAATAAGGCCATCCGCTTCTCGCCAAGAGTAAGGCATACTCATGGGACATTTCGTCATGTGTCACATGGCGGCTTGTTCCATGTGAGGGATTCGCTGTTCGGGCCAACTCCACCGGCTATTCGGACTGAACGGAACGTTGTTCGTCCCCTCGATCGCAACTCGTAGGATGATCAGCTCTCATCACACCGTCGTCATTTCCTTCCCTTGGGCTGATGAATGGTTTGTGTCCGCTTTATCCGTATTGCTGGTTCATAACAGCACACATAACTTTGCCTAGCACTGCGACGTTGCGGCGGGGTTGGGTGGCACGGTTGGTCGCCTAACCATTGTATGTATTTGGTGTTTGTGTTTGCCAAGACCCCAGACGGGGCGTTCCGGGGCGCCTTAGGTACCCCATGTACCCCACGTGCCCCAAGGCGGCAGCTAGGAGTAACTGCCATCATGCAACAATACTTTGATCCAACGTCCTCGCTCTACCTTGTCTACAGACCCACTAATCTTCTCCTCCAGGGCGTATCCTGCGGATACACAACATCAACTTTGCGCGGTTCCATTTGTCAAAACGTGTCGGGCGTTAAACGGATTGCCGATTGAGCCTCACGATGTTGCGGCTAAACAAGAGATGGGACATCACACGGTGAACAGTGCAGAGATGAACTCTTTACGTAGCACGATGACAGCGACACAGTTGAAGGACACGTAGCTATGCAGGACTAAGGAAGGAGCCATTCATTGAAGGTTCTATGTGCAAGTACCTGGGTAATTTTTGCCGGAATGGACCTTCCACAAGCTTGCTTGTATAAGATTTCGGTGTAGGCTTCACTCCCTCGAAAAGCAGTTGTACACGCTACCTCCAGTCCAGAGTGGGGTTCCCTCGCAATACCCCTTGCAGATCTGACCGACCCTGTCCCCGGACTGTTCAGTCATGTAGCAGTCGTCCTCGCATTGTGCCCCTAAGACGCATCGGGTCAACTCGTGTTGCTTGAACAATCAAAGGCTACGTTGTTGTCACTTACCGGTCTGGTATGGTCCTCCATTGGTGTCACTAGTGTCGCCGTCCTCGCAGGAGGGGATGTCGTTCTGTCGTTTGGTCGAAAGCGCAAGAGCGCTCGTAAGAAGAACACTGATCAAAGCAATGGAGAGCTTCATGGTGCCTTCTTGTGGTCGGAGGTGGTTGGACTTGTTCTGGAAAGACGAAGTGGAATTGATGAGATGGGTGTTGCTGTATGTTGTGTTGTCAGGCGAGGCGGGTTATAACCATCACCGCGGACTTGGCAATGCAACCTCAGCCACGACCCAGCTCCTTTCCATCGGAGCTTCCGGACTCATCGCAGGGCGTTTCTATGTCACCATGTCGTAATGACCAACTTAGGCCCAACTCTCTAACGGTTTAGCAGCCGTCACGAGGCCGAATAGCCGCATAAACGACATCCTCCAAGTCATCTTTCAGGCAGGTCAAGACCTCTGTATTCACCAGAGTCTTAGAAGGATCAAATATACAGCGGGTCTGTAGCGAGTTAGACATCATCAACTTTGTCGATAGTCAGTTCAACACTCGCCAATGCTGGTCTTGGGCGTAAGCCGGAACTTCCCTCGATGTGGGTAAAGTATTGCCAACATTTTGGGGGCTGAACAAACGCTGCTCACGGTGTCATGATTTGCTACTTCGTTCAAGGCATGATACGATGGCATGCCGATTTTCCGGGCTGATGTGGTATCGCTCCACGTCTCATAGCTGACAGCCTTGGAAGTAATAATCTTGCGAGACTATGTAGATATAAAGACGTACTCGTTGGAGCTCAACTGCCATCAAACACGCCGAACTCTCCATTCCTCGAGAACACATCTTTCCTGCCAATTCCAACATGTCACAACTCCTTACTGTCATCGGTCTTTTCAGCGATGCCCTGACTACGACTGGGTTCTTCCAAGGCCTCGTCCCAGAGAGCACAGCAGATGGTGCAACCATCAGGATCAAAGGTACATCATATCAGTGCACATTGCTTTCTCCAATATCACCGCTAATACATCCTTCACCCTTATAGCCGGTTTGCCCGATCTAGGCAACGACGGTGACAGTCTTGTGAGTAGCATACTATAGTATGGACCGTTTGGAAGCGCATGCTAATAAGATGATAGTCTGGATCCATCAACAAAGTCTATTCCTACTCCCAAGCGAACGGATACCAGGGCCAGGCTGACGGTTGTGACATTGGTAACGGTGGAATCTGCGACGTCATAATAGATGCGGGTGTTCCGGGCCAACGAGCTGTCTACGTCAGCGTCTCAAACAACAACGACGCAACCTGCATCGCTTGGATCATTGTACAGCAGCGTGATGGCACGTTCCCCGGTGCATGGACTGGCGACATTGGAGCAGCATGTGGCCAATCCTGGTATGAACAGATTGAGGTAGCGGGGAAACAACCTGACGGCAGCGACTACGTTCCCAGGTGCACCTGGCTGGATGCTGATCACACCAACGACATACCTAGTGCTGCTCTGAAGTTCGATGTCACGGCGTACGGCGAGAACGTGAACGAAACCGCGGATGCCAACGCAGGATGCGACTACACAATCTATGGGGAAGACAACGGGCCTCTCGCTGGTAAGCTATCACCATTATACTTGCCGTATTGGAATGCATATCTAAAGTTCAAACTCAGGTAAACCTGGTGCCAAGCGGAGCACCCCAGAGCGATCACAGTGGATGACCGAAGCACTTGTCGTCTCCCACATTGCAAGTCACTCGGCGAAGGGACTTTGCGACTCTGCCACGTCTTTGGGACCAGACTTTGTTGATATCCATGGCAACTTCTGCGACATGGGTTCCAAGACTCTCACCCCACTCTGCTCCTCGCAATACGTTGATGGATGCGTGGAGCTAGACGAGGACGAGAAGGCTGTGGTGAAGCGCATGAGCGTTGCGAAGCGTACTGCGAGCGTCAAGCACAAGTCTTACAAGAAGATCTCCAAATGGGGATTCTAGACGACATTTGCCTATACGATCTCGTAAGAGGAGGTTTGCGTACACCCGCAGAGTATATACTCAATTACGCTCATTACCAATGACATTTTGACTTTTACGATCGATCCCACCAGTGTCGCAAGTGACAAGGTTATGTTTTGCCGTCTCTGAGTTCCTGTTGCACGACTTGCATGAGTATGCGATAGGACTGATGGGGTTAACTGTCGCGCAGAAGACATGTGACTCTGAGTATTGCGATGTCCCTCATTTGATGAGGAGTACCTTTTGCGTATGTGGTAGTTATGTAATTTAGGAGTTATAAGTAGCTCGTCTTGCTCTGCGTTATCGCAGTACTATAGATAAGATAGAAGAGAACTAGAATATTAAATCGCACACTGTAGTAAGTTAATAGTTAAGAAATATATAATGCGCATCTTAGCGTCTTTATTGCTTTTACAACTTACACAACTATAGCTACTAATATCCTTTTTATTAACGTTGCAGGCGTTAAGTACAGCCTCTAAGGAACGCTTATACCTATTAATAACATCTTAGCTGCTTATACCCCTCTTAATTTACCTAGCGTTAATAAGGTAGCTAGCGTCTTGCAAGCTAACTTTCCTGCTCTACCTGTTAGCCTTATTATTGCCTTGCCTGTTATCTCTATTGTTGCTCTACCTGCTGCCTTACTTATTAGTTAAGATGCTGTCTATTAGTAAGAGAATAGTATATGCCTCTTCTAGGCGCGAGGTATATAGAGGTACTATTAACCTAGAATCTAGCTAACTATATAGGCGAGACTTGTGCAGCATAACTATAAGTAGACTCTAAGAGACAGGTAATAGATAATTTACTTTACTATTTTCTGTAAGCTAGCTTTACGCTAACACTATAGGAGACTAGGTACCTTAGAAGTACTCTATTTTAGCTTAATATGCAACAAATACGCGTTAATAATATTATTTGCGGCTATAGCTTAAAAGTATAGATAAGGGCTTTAGAGTAAAGGTTTAGAGATAGCAGTAGCTATTAAGCAATAGAATCTATGTTTAGGCAAATGTGGTCTTATGTGTGTCTTATGTAGGCCGAACGCGAAGAAACGACCTCAGAAGACATGTGGCTGTATCGTATCATGTGCTGCCGGGTCGCAGTTTCCAAGGTTGAGTCCTCTGGCGTGTGGTCATCCGAGTAGCCAAAGAAAAGGCCGCCACTCGTCATGAGCGTGAACTAGGATGCCGAAAGCCCTTCAAGCGGACGAATGCTCTCGGAAATTTCGATGTCGAGGCAAAAAAAGAAGGACTCCGGGAGCTAGGTATTTAAAGTTGTTCCCCTTCCGCCTGCCGCTGCTTCCGTGCAGGGACTTGTCGCGCTAGCCGCTCGCAGCGGTCACCTGGGGGGGGGGGGGGGGGGGGGGGGGGGGGGGGGGGGGGGGGGGGGGGGGGGGGGGGGGGGGGGGGGGGGGGGGGCGGG